AGGCACAGGTGGGATCCTACAGGGGGGCACTGTGGGGCTCTTTGTGTGGAGGGGGCACTGTGGGGCACTTTGTGTGGAGGGGGCACTGTGGGGCTCTTTGTGGAGGGGGCACTGTGGGGCACTTTGTGGTGGGTGCAAGGCCTGGGTGGGCTCTGCCCGTGTCCCCTGGGGGTCCCGAGGGCTCACCTGTCCCCCCAGGTGTCCTACGCCCGGCCCAGCTCCGCCTCCATCCGCGATGCCAACCTGTACGTGAGCGGGCTGCCCAAGGCCATGGGGCAGAAGGAGATGGAGCAGCTCTTCTCCCAGTACGGCCGCATCATCACCTCCCGCATCCTCGTGGACCAGGTCACAGGTGAGGCCACCTGGGAGGGTGGGGCAGTCCTGGGGTGGGGGGTCCTGGGGATCCTGGGGGAACCCCCCTCCCCTCCGCCTGGGGACCCTCCCGGCACAGGAGGGGACCCCGGGACCCCCGCGCTGACCCCGGGCCAGCCCGCTGTCGCTGCTGCCCAGGTTCTCCCCGCTGGCCATCGAGGCGGTGCCGGCGCTGGCCGGGGTGGGCTTGGGGACCCCCGGGCCGGGCTGGTGCATCTTCGTCTACAACCTGGCGCCCGAGGCGGACGAGAGCGTCCTGTGGCAGCTCTTCGGGCCCTTCGGCGCCGTCACCAACGTCAAGGTCATCCGCGACTTCGCCACCAACAAGTGCAAAGGCTTCGGCTTCGTCACCATGACCAACTACGAGGAGGCGGCCATGGCCATCGCCAGCCTCAACGGCTACCGCCTGGGCGACCGCGTGCTCCAGGTGTCCTTCAAGACCACCAAGCAGCACAAGGCCTGAGGTTTGTCCCCGCCCGGGGGGGGCTGCGGGGTCTCCTGTCGGGGTGTGGGGGTGTGGGGACCACCCCCCCCGCTCTGTGAGCGCCGTGGAGGAACTCGGCTGGAGGTCTTGGGGACCCTCTCTGTGGGCACCGTGGAGGAAGACGGCTGGGCCTTGGGGACCTTGGGGACCACGAGGGACCCCCGTGAGCACCGTGGACAAACCCACCTGGACCTTGGGGACCCCCATGGAGACCATGGAGACCATGGACAAACCCAACTGGACCTTGGGGACGTTGGGGACCCCTGTGAGCACCATGGACAAACCCAACTGGACCTTGGGGACCTTGGGGACCCCTATGGAAACCATGGAGACCATGGACAAACCCACCTAGACCTTGGGGACCCCCATGAAGACCATGGACAAACCCAACTGGACCTTGGGGACCTTGGGGACCCCTATGGAAACCATGGAGACCATGGACAAACCCAACTGGAGACCTTGGGGACCTTGAGGGACCCCATGGAAACCATGGAGACCATGGACAAACCCAACTGGAGACCTTGGGGACCTTCAGGGACCCCCGTGAGCACCATGGACAAACCCACCGGGACCTTGGGGACCTTCAGGGACCCCCGTGAGCATCATGGAGACCACTGAGAAACCCAACTGGAGACCTTGAGGACCTTCAGGGACCCCCGTGAGCACCACGGAGACCATGGAAAAACCCAACTGGAGACCTTGGGGACCTTGAGGGACCCCCGTGAGCACCATGGAGGAACTCGGCTGGAGGTCTCGGGGACCCCCATGAGCACCAAACACATCCTGGAGACCTCAGGGTCCCCCCCATGGGCACCATGGAGAAACCCAACTGAAGACCTTGGGGACCTTGAGGATCTTCAGGGATCCCCATGGAGACCATGGAGAAACCCACATGAAGACTTGGAGACCTCAGGGTCCCCGCCATGGGCACCATGGAGATCATGGAGGAACCCAGCTGGAGACCTTGGGGACCCTCAGGGACCCCCATGAGCACCGAACACATCCTGGAGACCTCAGGGTCCCCCCCATGGGCACCATGGAGACCATGGAGAAACCCACCTTGAGGTCCTGGGCACCCCCTCCATGGACACCAAGGACATCCTGGATCTCCAGGATGCAGAAAAGCACCTGGAGACCGTGGGGACACCCCGTGAGCGCCGCAGACAGCGTGGAGACCCCGGAGACCCCCTCCACGGCCACCTGACGCACAGCCCGGACACCTGGACACCCTCACCTGTCCCCGACGGGCATCCTGAGCACTCCTCCAGGTCCTGCAGGGCACTGGGAGGGGCCCTGGAGACCCCCCCAGGACACTGTGGACACACCTGGGACCCCCCCTCCCCCCCACCCCGGGTACCCCAAACCCCACCACTCCGGCAGTGGCCGGACCACCTGGAGCGGTGCCCCCCCTTCACCTGATCCAGGTGTGTCCAGGTGGGGGCTGTGCCCCCCCTTCCCTCCACTCCAGGACTCCAGCGCGGAGGTGGGGGGGGGGTCTTCTCGCTCTCTCCTTCTTTCCATGTTTTTCCTTAATTTTCCGGGGGAGGGGGAGGAATTTTTGGGGAGGAAGAACAGAAACAAGGATTAATCACGTGTTTAATTAGACCTGTTAGCCGTTTGTCAGGTAAGGAGGAGCGTGACTGGCGCCGGGAGCGGTGACTCCTCGGGAGCCGCCGAGCCAAATCCATCTATTTTTATAGCAGAATATTAAAAATATCCCCCGAAATCCCCAAAATCGCCTTTGCAGAGGGGGTGAGAACCTGTTTTGTGCTCCCCGAGTTCCTTGGAAGCAGCTTGTGAACCCCAAGAGCGATCAAGGCAAGTTTTGGGGGGTCAGTGGCACTAAGATGCCAGGGATTGCTCTGGTACCCCCAAAACTGGGAGGGAGGGGATGTGCCTTGTCACACTTCCCCCCCCTCCCTTCCCAAATTCTCCAAAATGGGCAATTTTTGCCCCAAATTACTCCACTTGGAGCCTCCTGTCCAAAAACAAAAAGGGCGGAACCCCACCTGAAAAGCCCCAACCCTGAGTTCCCCCAAACTCCTTATCATCGTTATTATTCTTAATTATTCTTAATTATTCTTATTAATTATTATTGATGTTGTTATTATTATTATTATTATTGCGATTCTTATTTATTTTCCCTTTGCCGTCGGGATAATTTCTCACTTTTCAGTGGTTTATTTCCCATTTATTTCCTATTCTTCCCTGATCCTGGTACTCCCCGGGACCCTCTTTTTTCCCCCCCAGACCCTTCCCCAAACCCATCCCAGCTCCTGGTTTTTTTGTGTCGTGCCTGTGTGAAGCTTCTTGTAGTTTTAATTATTATTAATATAAATATTTAGGAGCGACCCCCGTGTCCAGATCCGCCATCATCCCCTCCCCCCAAAACTCTGACCCCCCACCCCCTCTCCCAGGGATCCAGCCCTGGAATTTGGGGAGGGGGCCAGGGGACCCCCAATTCAGTAGCAATAAGGGGTCCCCACCTCAGCCCCGGCCCATTTTTGGGGGGCCCAACGCGGGGACAAAAGGTGCCCAGGGACCCCCTTGTGGCACTGCGGGACCCCTCGGAGGGGACCGGGACCCCCCCGGCCCCCACCCCTGGACTCGACTCTTTGTATTTTTCATGGAAAAAAATCAATAAAAAAATCAAAAAGGCAAAATTTGTACGTGGTTTTGGCAGGGAGGGCGCATCCATCCGGGACTGGATGGCTGAGGGACCGTCGGCCATTTTCCCTCCCGCTTCCCGCCCTTTTCCCCTCGCGCTTCCCTCCATTTCCCCTCACGTTTCCCTCCATTTTCCCCTCACATTTCCTTCTCTTTTCCCCTCAAGTTTCCCTCCATTTCCCCCTCACGTTTCCCTCCATTTTCCCCTCATGTTTCCCACCTTTTTACCCTCACATTTCCTGCCCTTTTCCCCTCACGTTTCCCTCCATTTTCCCCTCATGTTTCCCACCTTTTTACCCTCACATTTCCTGCTCTTTCCCCCTTACGTTTCCCTCCATTTTCCTCTCATGTTTCCCACTCTTTTCCCCTCACATTTCCTTCTCTTTCCCCCTCACGTTTCCCTCCATTTCCCCCTCATGTTTCCTGTCCTTTTCCCCTCCATTTCCTGCCCTTTTACCCTCAGGTTTCCTTCTCTTTTCCCCTCACGTTTCCTACCCTTTTCCCCTTATGTTTCCCTCCATTTCCCCCTCATGTTTCCCGCCTTTTTACCCTCACATTTCCTTCTCTTTTCCCCTCATGTTTCCCACCTTTTCCCCTTCACATTTCCTGCCCTTTCCCCCTCACATTTCCTGCTCTTTCCCCCTTACGTTTCCCTCCATTTTCCTCTCATGTTTCCCACTCTTTTCCCCTCACATTTCCTTCTCTTTCCCCCTCACGTTTCCCTCCATTTCCCCCTCATGTTTCCTGTCCTTTTCCCCTCACACTCCCACTCGTTTCCCCCTCACATTTCCGGCCCTTTTCCCCTCACGTTTCCCTTCATTTTCTCCTCACATTCCCCTCCCTTTTCTCTTCACACTTCCCACCTTTCCCCCTCACACTTCCTGCTTTTTTCCCCTCATGTTTCTCACCTTTTTCCCTTCACATTTCCTGCATTTTTTCTGCTTCACGTTTCCCTCCATTTTCCCTTCACGCTTCCTGCTCTTTTCCCCTCACGTTTCCTGCCCTTTTCTCTCCTCACATTTCCCTCCATTTCCCCCTCACGCTTCCCGCCCTTTTCCCCCTCACGCTTCCCGCCCTTTTTCCCCTCATGCTTCCCGCCATTTTCTCCCCTCATGCTTCCCGCCCTTTTCCCCTCACGGTTCCCTCCATTTCCCCCTCACATTTCTCGCCCTTTTCCCATTACACAAACATAAAAAAAGCTTTTCCCTCTCCATTTCCGCATCTTTCCTCCGTTTTCCCCGAGGTCACTGGATGGACAGACAGCCGCCCGTGAGTGCTGTGGAGGGACCGGGATGCTGCCGGGGGCTCCGGGACGCACTTGGGGGCGGTTTTGGGATTGCTGGACAAGGTTTAGCGGTGCTGCGAGGCTTTTGAGGGTGTTCATTGCATTGTAGGGGGTGCTGCCATGGGTTTGAGGGCTCTAAAGGGGCGATTAAACACTTTTGGTAGATCTGCGCTCCCGCCACGCTGCCGTAAAGTACCGCCGCCGCCTCAGCGAGCTCGCCGCACTGCCGTAAAGAACCGCCACATTGCCGTGAACGGCCGCAGCACCTCCGAGCCCGCCACACTGCCGTAAAGCGCAGCCACAGCGCCATTGTGTTAGCCACACTGCCGTAAAGCGGTGCTGCCGCGCTGGCCACACTGCCGTAAAGCGGCGGGGCAGGGGGAGCCCCGGAGAGATTTAGGGGGGCTGGGAGAGAATTTGGGGGCACACAGGGGGGGTTTGGGGGTCCTGGGACAGGATTTAGGGCGGGCACGAAGAGGGGGAGCCGGCCCAGCATCCCCCCGCCCGCTGCACCGGCGGGTTCGAGCTCCCGGTTTAAGGAAATGTCATTTTCTTGGCATTTCGGCCCCTCATAACCTTAAGGGTTAGATTGGGGAAGAATCCTCATTTCCCCTCATTTTAGAGGTTAAATTGAGGAGGAATCCCCATTTTTTAGGGTTAAATTGAGGAAGAATCCCCATTCCCCCTCATTTTTAGGAGTTAAATTGAGGAGGAATCCCCATTTCCCCCCATTTTTAATGGTTAAATTGAGGAGGAATCCCCATTTTTAATGGTTAAATTGAGGAAGAATCCCCATTCCCCCTCATTTTTAGGAGTTAAATTGAGGAGGAATCCCCATTTCCCCCCATTTTTAAAGGTTAAACTGAGGAGGAATCCCCATTTTTTAGCGTTAAATTGGGGAGGAATCCCCATTTCTCCCCATTTTTTAGGGTTAAATTGGGGAGGAATCCCCGTTTCCCCCCATTTTTAGGGTCTAAATTGTCAGAAACCTCTTTCTGCCCATTTCAGGAGTTTCACCGAGGGGGACCCCCCGTTTTGGGGGGGAAAAAAGGCATAAAAAAAGCCCCAAAAACGGCGTTTCTTGCGGGAAAAGCAGCGAGGGGCATTTCGGGGGGTGGATTTGGGGCGGAAATTCCGTTTTCCCGCAGCCCCGGGGGTGGATCGGGG